ATCTGTTGAAATTTTTCTCGATAAATATTGCTTTTTAGCTTCCACGTTTTGATTTTCCGAAGCATTTATTTAGACTTATTTTTTGACAGTTTGACAACCAGGTCTGCCACAAGGAATCTGTTTGGCGACACATGATTCGCCAGGTATAACTTTTACATTTTTGAATAGCCTACGGTGTTGTTGCTTGACAGCGAAGAAATCAATTTGTGTGGCTGATGGTCCACTTTTGTATGTTATGAGATGTTCCAATCTCTTTCTAAAATATGTGTTCAATAAACGAAACCCGTGACTTTCAGCAAACTCAAACTCTATTATAATAATTAATATTATTAAAATCTTTATTATACACGATATGAAGTTTCACTGCTATGACTCTATTGACGTATCTTGCTCAACCACGCAGATGAGATTGATGGAATCAGTAAGGTCGCAGATACTGTTGTTGAATACGATGTAGAAGCAGCCGATGCTGTTGCTGCTGCCCTGTTTCAACACTGGCTCATCGATCTAGACGGGTTTAAGCCAGTATGCAACTGCTACCGGGTTACTCCAGAGATGCACTATACTGAGTGATGTAGGGTTACTGGGGCAGGAGAATAAATGAGGCATATTGTCCTGATAAGCATGGCGGAAGGGACGAATGTTGTTGATGCGATTATCAATTCATGATTTGTAGCTATTTAGTGGGATGTTGTGGCCAGAGCGGAGCTGGGCTAGCGTCCGCCTGGTTGTTCTGGGCAGTGTTGATTCTGTTTCTGTTGGTGGAGTGGATGGAGGCCATCCGTTGAGCAACACCGGTATATGGTACGATTCAATTGCGGCTGTTACAGCTTTGTTAAGAAGTTTGTTTAATGCTGCTTTTTTTGTTTTGCAATCGAATGATGTCTGTATGACCGGCTGGCTGAGTTCGAGAACCTGGTGAAAATGGTATCTTTCATGCTGCAGAGTTGGCGATTTGATATTGTAATGGCGTGGCAAACATGTAGAGGACTGTGACACTGTAGTAGGAATTGTGTAGATAGTAGTTCGGTGTGTCGTTTAATTGATAGCAACTTGCATTTTGATAGGTGGGTGTTCCTCTAATGCTGCTTTGTGACATCCTGTGGCTACTCGCAAGCGGTAAAGGTTTGAAACTGAGGTCATAGTTAACCAAGCTGTACAGGCATATTTCACTATGGAGCGGCCGATTGTTTTGTAAACTTGTAATAATGTTTCTTTATCCTGCCAGAAAATAGTTCTACTGATGGTTTTGAGGATATTATTACGCTTAGATGCCATGGATGCAGACAGTCTGTGGTGATTGGGAAAGGTCCGTATTGGATCAAAAGTTAAGCCTAGCAATTTTGGATGTTCAAGAGGAAGCAGCTGATTGTTGATCATCACCTGAGTATTGTAGTGGTATTGTGCGTGAGTGAAATAAAAACTGTGACTGTTGATTTTGAGGTTGGCATTTCCAGATTTCTTCGGTTGAAAAAATTATAGAGTGTTGGTAGATAGTTGTTGTTGAAAGGTTGTGTTAGAATGTCGACGTCCGGACCAGATGTATATATTGAGAAGTTATCTGCATACGAGATAATTTTGATATATGATGGTGGTTAAGGAGCTTTAGAGGCATGGAAATTAAAGAGGGATAGAGAGAGAGAGCCAATCCCTGTTGCACGCCCATGCGTATAATTCGTTTCTTGGAAAGTTGGTGGCATAATTCAGTGAAGGCATGGTGACCATGCAATGGATGGAACCAGGTTATGTTAAAAACAGATCATCCAACAGTGTCCGATAGTTAACAGTTTCAAATGCTTTTGTGAGGTCTAGCGTTATGAGGATGGTTCGATCGGCTGGTTTCTTTTGGTTGAAACCTTTTGCAGTCAGTCGTCATCAGTGTAAGGTCGGTTGAGGTTGAGCACCCAGGACGAAAGCCATGTTGATGATGATCTGCTGATGTTAGATAATTGGAAATGATAGGGAGTAGGCATTTTTCTAAGACAGAGCAATGATATGGGCCGGTATGGTTTCCTTTTGAGCAATGAGACAATCTTGGCAGTTTTGTAGATGTTAGGAATAATAATGCAGTGCTAAGTTTCTTGATGATTCGTGTTGCGATTCTCTTTTGTTTATTGGATTTGAGAGCTATGAAAGAGGTGAAGCTTTTATTGAACAGATTGGCTATGTGAAGATTGTTAGTTATTGCTTTATTGTTGAACTGAATTTCATTGTTTGGGTGTTGTTTTGGTTTGCCATTGAGAGGCTTTTTTTGTTCCAGAGTGATTCGATGTTCGTGTGTCTATTAAATGTGCTGAGGTGATCTTTTCGTCTGTTTAGTTTGAGTTCGGTGATCATTTGTTGAATTTTAGATAATAGCACTGTTATTTTGTTGGATGATGGATTGGTACTACGGAGACTATCTCTTTGTTCAATTAGATCAACGATTTCCTTTGAGAGTCCTGGTTTTGAGTTTTTATGATGGCCTGAGAAAATGTTTTGTATTCTTGCGTTAATTTGAATTTTACGTAAGGTTTTTTCAATAGTTGATATGTTAAATGGAAAAACGATGTTGCTGAAAGCGATCTTTGACTCAGCTGTGAAACTCAACCAATTTGATTTGGTAAAGTTTGTTAAGTTGACCTTGGTTAATTTGGTATGGTTATAATTTTTTTAGAGTGTGATGGGAACTGGTACTTAGTCGGAGGAAAGACTTGCTTGAGTGGACCATTCTAGATTTGCAATGAGGTTGTCGGACGCAATAGAAATGTCGGGGAAGGATGGCTGTCCATTGGTTGAAGACGTGTGGGAAAGTTTGAGTAGAAAGTGCCGCAATTTAACGCTTCGATTTCTTGTGCCAAGATTTCGCCACGAGTGTCGTTCAAGTTGGAATGTCAGAGTCTATCGTGAGCTTTCATGTTGCTAAGTATTGTTGAATGTGGATGAGTGAGAAGATGAGAGAGTGATGTTATATAATTAGGTGGACATGAAAATTGCGGAGGGATGTAGACATTGATGATTGTTGATTTTGATGGTGATAGCTTGGTTCTATTGTGTTGAGCAGTGGAAGTTGTTTGATGGTGAAAGGAATTTTGTTATGAATCAACATCAGCAGGCCACCGCCTCATCCATTTTTCTGATCTTTCATGTAGATTGCATAGTTTTTGAATTCTGTTTTTTATGTTTGCTGATAGTTTGGTTTCTTGAAATGCTGCTATTTGTATTTTCTGAAATGTAAGGTGATGTTCGATTTTGTCATGCTTTTTTTGAATGCCGTTGCAGTTAAGTTGCAGAATTTTTAGTTTCCCTGTAGGTAACGTTGTAGATTGGTAGCGGTTTGTTTCAATCGAATTATTAGTGTTGGATGTTGTTTTTAACTACAATGAGGCCGTTTCGGCCGCTGATGTGTCTAAGAACTCTTTTTTGGCGAGGACACTTGTTGCATAGGTAATGATTTTTGAATTTTGTTCAGCAGTTGTTATCCTATGTGGTACCACTTGCAGCAGGTTCAACATCCAACGGAGTATTGTGTTTTGTTGATGGTTCTATCGCATACTGTACAGATCCATGACTTTGGACCTAAGTCAATC